CTAATATACAAAGCTACAAATCTTCCCTTTTATATGCCTGCTTCTGTATACAGGTATTGATTTCCATATTGTTACAGTAATTTTATTTAAAATATTTTATTTCCATTATAATTTGCTCCTTGAGCCATTAGATAATTAGTAATATATTATTTAATTTCCAAATTTGTGGAGATTTCTTCATTTTTAATTTTCTTAGTATTATCAATTTTTAGACTACTTTCTGTTAGAGGAGAGAATAAAATTTTGTGATTTCAATCCTACAAAATCTGTATTTTGATCCAGAACTCCTTTGTTAAATTTTCTATAGCATGGGACAAGAATGTGTCTTCTGCTCTATGTGAATAAACTAGTCCAATTTTGTTATTGAGCCAAGTTCTTAAATCATGTTTTTCCAGTATTTTTCTCTTTGTTGTTTGTTCTATCATTTTATGAAAAACTATTTCAAACAACAAACTATGATAGATTTGTCTATTTTATTTTTTATCAAATATTACTTTATTTTTTGTTTAACGAATGCTACAGGCTAATGCAAATTTATTGTGATTACCTTTTGTAATTGAATTTAATTTTATAATAAAAATAGTACCATTTACCTCTAATAATACTAATTTAAGTTGACTTTCTTTATCAGAAAGCTACACTTCCTTTCTTTGGATTAATATTTTCATTGTATATATTTTCCTATCTTTTTGCTTCCAACTATCTGTGTTCTTCTATTTTAAATGTGTTTCTTACTGGGGATTTGTTTTCAATCTGAAAATTTTTGGCTCTGAATTGATGTGTTTAGTCCATTTACATTTAATACATTTAGTAATGTAGTTAGGTTTGTGACAATATCTTATTTTGTTGCAACTCATGTTATTTTCTCATGTTTTCTTGTTCTTTCTTGATATCTCTAAAGTATTTTATTTCTTGCTTTCCTAGTTAGAGATAATGCAATTAGTTTTTAATAGATAAAATTACAAAATACATTTTTTAATTTATTACTGTCTAGTCAGTAATAAAGTCAAGAACTTTTTCTGGGTATAAGCAAAGAAGTCTCCTTAAATTCTTTATTTTCATACTTTTGTGAGATTGTTATCATATTTTGAACTTATATTTTAAAGTCAAAAAGACTTTATTGTTATACTTTCAGTATTTATATCTTTTCTAATGTCATTAATCTCTCTGATTTTTCTTCTTCCATCTGGATTTATTTTTACTTTTGCCTTTATCACTTTCCCCAGCATTTCTTCTAGCATTGATATAAATTATCTCAATTTTTCTTAGCCTGAAAATATCTTTTAACATTTCTATTTTTAAAAGTAGTTTTCCAAATATAGAATTCTGAGACAGCAAATATTTTCTTTAGCTTTAAAAAAACAGATTTAGTCTGTTGTCTTATGAGTCATATAGCTTTTGTTGAAAACCTAGCAAGGTCTAGCATATTATTGTACTTTTTAAAGTAGCATAACTTTTTGCTCTGGCTACTTTTGAGATTTTTGTCTTTATCTTTGGTTTCAGCAAATTTGCTGTCATAGATATTGATGCAATTTCCTGTCATTTGCTCCTGTTTGGAGTTTATATAAGAACTTGAATCTGAGATATGAAATCTTTTGTCAGTGTGCAAGATGCTTGGCCATTGACTCTTTAAATATTGCCTCTGCTGCACTTTCTTTCTCTTTCTCTAGAGCTTCAATTCACATTATGAATTTTTGTGAGGTCACATATATTTCTAAAGATCTTGTCCATATTTTTTCATCCATTCTCTGTAAATGTTTTACAACTTCCTAGGTCACTAGTTTTTATACTCATAATCCCATTTAGTAATTTCTTTATTTGAATTATTAATATTACTTTTTAGTTCTAAACTTTCCACTAGACTCATTATGTATTCTAATTCTGTGAACTAACTCTCCATCTTTTATCTATTTTTACATATTAGTCGTAATTATCTTAAAGCTGGTGCCTGGTAATTCCACTATGTGAGTAATCTGTGGATCTAAATCTATAGTTTGTCTTTTGGCGTAATTTTATTTACCATTATTTGACACCATCTGCTAGAATAACTGGTAGTCTTTTATTGATTGCTAGACATCGTACATGAAAATTTTAGAAGGTCATGATGACACTGTCTTCCTCCAGAAAATATTTAGTTGTCTTCTGTTATGCACTTAGGATATAAGCAGTAAACTTCCTCAGAATGTCTCAGGCTGAGCTTAAGGCTTCACATAGACTAGGCCATTTCTCTTTGCCCTTGCACATGGGATGTCTCAGAGGCCCTCCTCCTTAACATGGCCTCAAATCCAGTTTCTTTCCCTTGTTCTGAGACTCCTGAAATCAGCATCTTTCTAATCTCCCAGGTTACTTTATATTTATTTCTCAGCCATTGGCTGACTCTGTGAATATATAGTTTAATAACTACCAAGTGCTGCAAGAGAAAATCAGGCTCTCTTTTTTGCTTCCCATGTTTCTGGGATCTTGAGTCTGCACTCCGATTTCTGTCTTACCAATACTGAGACTGAAGCAAGCTCTATGCTGCATCTTTTCTCTATTCTCATCACTGAGAATTTGGTAATATCTCTGAGGGAAAAACTGAGCTATATGTAGGAGTTCCTCCATTGTACGACTCTTCTCCTGGGATTGGACTCTCAGGTCCTTGTTGCCTTGATCATTGTCTGATGTCTTTAGGTACTTTTAAGTAGTTTTTCTAGTTGTGTTTTTAGTTGAATGAATCTTGCCAATGTTGCAGCTCCAGTAAAGTTAGAAATCATTCAGTAATCTTCAGCCCAAAAATTTGTATCAAGTGGGCAATATCTATCTCCATAATGGCCAGGAAGACTACTGTTTAAGGTTTTAGATTTGGTTCCAAAGATAAACCCAAGGAAGGAATGTGGAAACCATGACTAAATGAACTATGATATCATGATTCCTGCATACCAAAAAATTATCCTTGGTAATTTGGCAAATATTTTCTTACAGTATTTCCTCTACTGCTATTGCTTATGATGAGGATAATTTAAATTATCTAAACTTTCCATTAAATGGATTATTTGAATATGACTTGTTTACCCACTGCCACCATGAAGGCTAGAATGATTTATATTATGTTTCATCTGAAATATAGAAGGATCTCTAGTTTCCAAGCATCTTGGAAGTATATAACTGAAACTTATAGCCCCTCCCTGATGCCTTTATCAAAATCTCTTGAATTTTTTTCTGAAACTATTTGTTATGTAGTGCCACAAGTCACTTTTATGAAATGTCCAACAAAATGGCTCAATCTCCCCAACAAGCCCTCTTTCCCTGGTTATCCACTCACAAAATTGCAGATGAGACTGAATGCATTTTTTGGCTTGTATTGGATCCTCAGAAATACCAGGTCTTATTTGGAGTACCTGAAAATAAGCTCTCAGTACAAACAATATTTTTGCCTTGATAGTCTCATGTCACCAATAACGTCATAAATTTGATTCCTCATGTATTGAGAACAAGAAATACAAAGCTTAGTGATAAAAGGACTACTAAAGTACTCTAAAATGATTTCAGATACTATAGAGCCCATAAAACCAAGCTATGCATGCTAGCAAAGCTTGATTAATATGCTTCATTTTGGATCTATATGTTTTACTTTTTGTTTGTTTTGGTTTTGATACAGGGGATCATATTTGGGACCTTGCTCTTGCAAGAAGATGGTGGAACCACTGAGCTAAATCCCCAGCCCTGTTTTATTTTTTATTATATCTTCCATTGCCAGATATATACTTTTAAATATATATATTTTATAAAATATATACTTAATATATGTATATATTAATTATATTATTAATTTATTATATTAATCATATAATTAATATATATTAATATTTATACATACACATATACATTTCTTGATCTGAACCTGATTCACTTCATGGATTTTTCATGTTTTGTTTCCTTGGACAACAACATATTTTAACTATTGCTAATCTAGAGCTCATCTTTCTGCTTTCCCAATACACAACATTAGCTATCCTTTGGATGCTACCTCATGTTTCTTTGATTGTCAATTTAATATGTTCCACATTCTAGGTCACAATGACTCTATCATACAAAGCATGTGGTATATAAACGATTATGTGATCTTCCTTTAATTTATTCCTTTCTGTTTTGTGTTTGATTACTAAAAAGATGACCTTTGCATGACCTCTTTTAAATCATGTATAAAATGGTTCCCAGTCTCTAACCATTCTCTCTCCAACATGAAATATTCCTCCCAATTGTGGTAATTCATTAAAAAAATAAATTTTGGTGGAATTCTATCAAAGACTGAAAATGTATACACATTATGTTTTATAATTGTTCTTTTGTCACATGGATATTAAGCTGGTTTAAGAAGCCATATTTGTTGGTAAGTAAGATTCCATTTATAATAAAAAGATACTGTAAAAAGGACTGTAAAATGTTCAGTCATTGCACTCACTGTTAAGGTGTCTACTCTTTTCTGAGGTGAGTGGTGCTTGCCTGTACTTTTCAGGATCTACTAGAAAACCCAGTCCATGGAAGAAGCCCACTAATTTTCTGGTACAGTAATTATTGTAAACCAATGGCTACTTTCTCTTTCTTGCTACTTTCTCGACAGTATCCTCCTTGGTGCTCTCTAAGACTTAAAATGAATCTATTTCATGCCATCAGTTTATTTGCATCTTAATTATAGATTCAGTCTAGAACATCCAGGGTGTTTCCCACTGGTCTAATACCTCTTATTTGTTTAGATTAAAACAACTTTTAAAAATATGTATGTATGTATGTAGGTATGTATGTAAGTATGTATTTTGCTGTATTAGGGATTGAACCCCAGCCTGTAGACTGAAATATTTTGATAGATTCTTCCCAAAGCTATTCTCAACTCTAAGCAGCTAATTCTTTAAATATATTTATTTTTTGTCTTTCTTTTTTCCCCGAACCTTTTTTTCCCCATAAACTCCTTTCAGACCTCATTCTTTTTTTTTTCTGGCCTGTTTGGTCTCTATTTTACTTACCCAGGTGACTGACAGCTTCTTTCTCCCAAGGCCAGGTGGCAGCACCTGCAAGGTCTTCTCGCACTGAGCTGGCAAAGTAGACATTGAGGAAATGGGTACCGTTGAGCTGTAAGGCCTCCTTCAGCTCCTTCACACTCATGTATGCCCTGGAGAGCACACAAGACAGAGAAAATGTCACACCAACAGATTGGCACTTAGGACAACAGAGCCAGACCTGATCACTAATGGCCTATCAGCCAGCATAGCCTTTCAGAGGGGCAGGGAGGCTACCATGGAGACCAGAAATAAGTACACACACACACACACACACACAGACTTGCAGTATTTATTCCAAGTGGTATCCTGCATTTATAAACACCATAATATTGAAATGAATAGCATATTTGACATCATTCTCAATTCTCCACTTGCACTCAGATTATTTCTTCAAGATAAATCCAATAATACTATTAATGCTACCAATTTTTTGCTTTGAGAATTGTTCCCAGGCCGTGTTATAGAAGGCCTTCTAACTTTCAGCCTCTGGTTCTTTTCCTCATTGTACCTGATCCTTACAATGATAGGAAGCCCAGTTAAATCACTATATCAGAATATGTCTATAGCAAACATTATTTTTTAGATGAAAAGGGAAAATAGTAGTTGGAAACTAATTAAGGTGATAAAAATAAGAAGAGTCAGTGGAACCAGAGGGCATTATAAATCTAGTGCATATGATAGTAATTATATATACACTTTCCTTACCCAGTCTTTAATCCATAGAAACTCTTCTAGTACCTCATGATACTTACCAAGTGTCTTTATTGGTGGCTTTCAAAGTCCTAGGCAATATTACATTTGTATTTATGCACAGAATTAAATATCTATTAAAAATACAAGCACCACAGCCCATAAAAAAGGAAATGAGCATTTGGTGCCTCAGCTTCCTGGCATCAGTGAAACTTAATACTTTACCACGAGCAAATAGAACTTTCCCATCCTCACCAAACACTGATTTTAAGAAGGAACAGCTAAACCAGAGCTCAGTGGCCTTTTAGACCCACAAGCTACTTCCTGCCTTGGCCATGGCTTGCCATCACAAAGGGAGGAAGGTTCCTATCACAGCTTTAGCCAGGCAGACAGTCCCTCAACACAGGGTGGAAACTTTTTACAGATCATGTTTTCTGGTTGCTGCTCTACTGGACAAGCCGCAGGCACAGAAACCTCCCAATTCAGAAGCTCATTTGGGGACAGCATGGCCTTATCATCTCTTGCTTGCACTGACTCCCAACTGTGATGTTGAGGCTGTCTACTTAACCCACACGTGGGTTGCGCTGGGCAGGGGCTCCAGAAAAAGAAGAATCCCAAAGAAAGCTCTTTTTGTATTCTTTGGAATAGAATCAAAAAGGGGGCTAAGAGCAAAGAAACCAAAAAGACCTTGCCTTAGAACTAATGATGCTTAGGAGCAAAGGGTTTTTAAAATAGTATTTCATTAACATAATATCTTGGAAAAATAGTTCTCAGCCATAAGAAATCGTCCAAGTGCCATAAGGTGACATCAGATATGATGAGAGGGATATTCCTTCTACTCCTTTCCTGGAGACACAATGTTTTTGGGCTGTTGCCTGGTTCTCTCTGGATAATAGTCACATTCCTTTTTCTCTTTTTGTTTATTAAAAATAATATAATTCGTTTTTGCTGATCATTGGGATATGATGACATCAATTAAATCTTCAATGTGGAGATGTTTCAATAGGCCTGGGGAGGAGGGAGGGAAAGAGGAAGAGGAAGAATAAGAAGAGAAAGGGTAATGAGGGGAGGGGCAGGAGAAGAGAGGACAGGAGAGGAATTAGAAACTGAGCCTACACTCGGCTCAGGGTACTAAAGAAAAATAATCTTCACACCCATTTTCTGTTCCTATTCCAGGTTTCCAATTAACTTGGAAGTTGGTAGCTGAACAGTTTTCTTTCTTAGCCTCCTTCACTTTCCCAAACCCCCTGTTCCTGGCATGGTCTCCCCGGGCTATCTGAGTGTTACTGGTTCTCTGTTTGCCATTTACCAGTCTTGGCTGCCATTCGTCTGCCCTTTCTCAACCCGCGTTTCTGTTCATTTCTGTTGAGCACCCTCCAAGAGACCTCTTCCTCCACACCAACCTCACTAGCGGGTTCTGCTCATCTCCCTTTTCTTCCTTGCCCAATTTTCCCCCAGCCATAAATTACCTTTCCAGATGAAAGTGTTTATGTCATGCTGCTGGCAAACTGGGAGTGCCTGCTCAGATTCCTATGCTCCACAGAAATATGGATAGAAATCGGCAAGTCTAAGGGAGGGAACACATTTTAAAACACTAGAGACAGTTGGAAACAGTCATTAATGGAACTGATAGAAGAAAGCTTTATTTTGTTGAGACTGTTGTCTAGATAATTCTCTAAACCAGAGGGTAAAAGACATTACTCAAAAGCCAGTGAATGTGCTCAGCATGCAGAATGTCCCCCTATTTAACATATCACTTCAGAAGTTGATCAAAGCTAATGAAGATAAATGTCAGCTTCTCAATTAATGTGACCAGACCTTGGCTCAGACTTACAGTAGGAAAAAAATGGATATAGACCTTAAATTCAAAACTTAACAGCTTGATACAGAAATTACTAATAAAGAAATACATCAACTTAATATTCAAGAGATAGTGAAATGACATTCCCAAATGAGTAAAATGCATAAGGACCATGAGCTGACCAGAATTATGTTTTTAAAGGGATAAACTGCATTTATTGTATTAAATTCTACCAGGATCTATTTTTCTCCACACTGTAGATGGAGATATCTCTACCTACACTTCTCCCTGATATCTGATCCAGCAGAGTAAAGTTGCATCTTGGCTTTTATAAAAAGGGTCTCAAAACCAGGCTCTTCAGTGGGGGGGATGTCAAGTTGTTCTGTGCCTTAGCCCAGGCCTGTTATTTCTGATGTGTCCCCTGGAAGAAAGCACACTGACTTTCCCATTCTATGCCCCCAGCCTCTCCCATTGGGACTGGCCATTGTCCAGCTCAAGTGCACTGTGTTTCATTGTCTCCCAGACTCACTGAATTCACTGATTCCCGCCAAGCCTCCTGATCACTGACCCCCAGCCACAGCACAGTGTCTAAGTGTACATCAAGCCCCATCTCTTGCTTAGTTTGTGACTACATAAAAGGTAAAAGAGTGACACCTTGTGCTCTATTTTATTAGTAAATTAAATAACCCTTTTATAGACTGATAGAAATGACCCAAGAAGGGAGCCATAAAGAAGAAAAAGATCTTGAGCTATCTGGAGGGAGATGAGCCAGTATCAAAAACTGGAGCGTTGAAAAACACTACGTAAACTGGACATGGTGGCACATCCCTATAATCTCAGCCTCTCTGGGAGGCTGAGGCAAGAGGATAGCAAGTTTGAACACTCAACTAAAGGCCCTGGGTGCAATCCCCAGTAATGGGAAAATAAAAGCAAACAAAAGACATAAGGGATGAATGAACACCCTGAGACTGGGACCCACAGTCCCACGACCCATTCTCATAGCAACCCCCATCCCACCGTCAAGAGGGGCCTGACTGCACTCTGCAAGTGAGAAGGCACCCTTTATGGGAATAAAAACAGATGTCCTCAAGGACTCTCAGCCAGTTTTCCCCACCAAAATGACTTGTCCCAAAGCTAGAATGATTGGTTTGGTTAAACCTTAATTTTCCTGTCATTACTGCAAACCGTGTCTCTCTGCCCAAAATATGCAGAAAGGTTTCCACAGCTACCCCTTTTCCCTATCTGCTCTGCCACTTAGATTTCTCCTCTCAACGAGTATCACTTTCTCTTGCTCCTCAAGCCTTTCACTATGCCCACATCTCGGGGCTTGTAGACCTCCCAAAGCACCAAGCCATTCTCCCCACTCACCATTCTGACAACAAAATCTTTGTTTGCTCCCCTCCTGTCAAACTTTTCCTGTTCGTAGGTACATATCACTGTACTACATCACCGAATACTTTCCACTTCATTTCCCATCTCCTATCACTCCATATATGCATCAAGCACTTCAGCAGCAGGCTGTGTAATCCGCTTCACCCCATCTCCTATCATCACCTTAGGAAATACCAACATTGTGTGAAATGTGCACTGAAAACACAATGGTATTCTTGCCTTCTTTGTTCTGATGATCTTAGCTCCATTCCCTTGCTCAGATTATTATTATTATTTTCTACTTCTAAGCTCCTGTAGGATTTTAGTTCCAGTTGTCTATACTTGTACTTATTTTTAATTTTCTCCTTTGTGGATATTATTTGTAACTTTCAGTGTTCTGCTCTTGTCAGCTCTCTTATTCCTTTGACTAGTAGTCAAAGGATCATGCCTCCTCTTTTGATAATAAAATCATGGCCATTCGTCAAAAACTTCATCACTACTCCCCATTCCATACACACAATTCCACACACTTCAACTTACTTCACTTCCTCACCTATTTATATTCTCTTTCCTCTGGTCCCACAGGATGAGGTTTTCTGAACAAATTATAACTAACACCCTCTCTTTTTCCTTCTTCCATTCTATTTAAACTTCTTGAGAGGATAATCTCATCTTCTATTTATTTTTTAATGTACCCCTATAATCACATTATAACATGGTTTTCATCTGCATCACTTTACCAGTATTATTTTCATTAAATTTTTCAATGATATATTAATTTTCCTTATCTAAAACATAAGAAAATTCAGTCTTCCTCATACTGGAGCCTTTTGCTGCATTTTATGTTATTAGTTATTTATTCCTTCTTAAGCCTCTCTGCTTCTTTTGCTTTCATTGAAAGTCATGCTTCTCTCCTGGTTCTCCTCCTGCTTTTGAGACCAACGATTCTCAGTTTCTGATGTGGTCCTTTCCCACCCACCCTCACCATGCTTCCACTCCTTAAAAGTTCTTCCCCATGGACCTGTATGTAGCGGATACTTTTCTCATTCTCCATATTCATCACTGGAAACTCTTCTACTCTTATATGATAAGGCATCATCATTGTTTGGATAACTCTCAAACATGTAAATGCATCCAGTCCTACTTCTTTTCCAACATTAGATTCTTTTTTTCCCACTATCAAGCTGACAGCTCTACCTAGTTTATTCACAAGACATCTTGAAATCACAGGTCAATGTGATAGGCGAC